ATAAAGGTATGAAGGTAATAGGTAGATTGCTACCAAATACAAGAACTTAACTGTGGTCACTTCAGGATCGGAAGATTTTGTCACTTGACATGCGGAGATTCAAATAATTCTGCATTTATTTCTTTTTCAGAGTAATATAAAATATTGGACTACACTGTGTGATGGTATCGAAGAACCAACATATGCTTTGGTGTTGAGATGGTACAACTATAGCCAACATCAATAAATTTCAGGTAGGATTCTTTGGTTTGTTCTCAAGCGGCACTGCTCTTCTAACCGTTCGCAATAATCCGGCCTTGCACAACTCATTCGGTTTGCTGTGTTTCACAATCGGCATCGCCAGTATAGGTGTTCTACTCACCTTTGTCTTCTGGATTACTCCGATTGCACTATTGTAAAAACACAGTAGTTCTGTATTTAACCGTTATTTTGAGGTAGTATGATGTTGAAATAGAAGGCGAATACCAATAGAACGATTAATCGAAGTCTTCCTATGATCATGTTGGGCTTGAAATTTCTTCGAAACGAAGGAAAATTTTTTGAATAAAAAACAAAAATCATACCCCTTCAGGGCCCTAGTAGAAATCGTTGCACGCAGCGCTCTCGGAAGGAGCGCAAAATTTAGTAATTCATTCAAAAATTTCGCATCAGTCGCGGTGAAAGAAAATGTTTCGGTTTACTTTTATGATCAGATACAATAGGATTGCCTCTACATACTCATATGCATTTGATGCATAAAGATCTCTTATGTGCGTACTAAACTCTAAAGGTGAAACGCAGTTATTCTTTTGCTCTCACTGCAGTCTATAGAGAAAATTTCGAAAGAAAGATTATATCTTGGAAAGCCCTAAATTTTGAATGGAGAGCCATCCAGATATTGAAAAGGAAGCTATACAAACTCAAGCCGAGCGAACAAAGGATACCGCGTGTGAAACATGGTCTTATTTTCACTGTTACAGCACGCTATAATACTTTTTTCAAGACCGAAGTACCGCAACAGGATTTGAGCCATCAAATGATTACCAAAACTATAGGTGAAAAGCTTTCTCTACCGAATACATCTTGGTTCAAAAAGGTCTTTCATGCTTTCTTATCGATGACCCGGCATCGCATGCACTTTGCAACATCATTTTTGACAAACTATTCATTACATTCCAATTTTCAAGCCACAATTATAGGTCTAAAGTATTGTGTGTAATAAATATATCAGAAGTACTAGAGTTATATCACTAGATTTAATGTGCAAGTTATTACAAGCCGACAGAGTGTCAACATTATTGTAACTGCGCAGTGAAAGAGAGATTTTAGCCAAACCTAGAAGTTATATTCGCACCAAGAGCATGCGAGTGTGTAGAGAAGCCGTAAGCTATCGAAAAATTACCAGAAACCTTACAGTTATTTGCAAAGCAGTGAAAAACCTCACTTGAATAACAAAAATTGCGCACAAGCTACGATTTGCACTGCGCCTAGCGAATAAAACTGGTGGTCGTGAAAGGATCAAAATCCTGAGATTCAAATGTCGGATGACTATTAATAGTCTAAAGGAAAAGTTTGTTCAGCGAAACATGCTTGGGTGTGAAATATATTATAATGAATTTTTTCTGTTGCAGTGCGACTAAATGGCTTCTAATATAATATATTTTACTGACGCACTGCGACTAAACGACCTTTTAAGAGAAAAACACGTCATTAGAATTGTCGTGATCTTAACTATCAGTTGATTACCATAAATCTAACACTAATTAGAAAACGCGTTTTATCAAATGGTCGAAGCAGGGTGCGGTTAACGGAGAAGTACCGAAATGTCATTAAACTGCAGTGCTTTAACGTTTCTCTGAAGTCTCTTATGTTTATACAAAGCCAAGTAAAGTTCTTTCAATTTAACCCATTTAGCTATGATATGATGCCATAGAATAAATTCATCAATGCTGAGTAATGGGCAAAATTCCTGAACGTCAGACGAAAATCAAATTCCCTTCCGGGTCGTGTGCTAACTAGTTACACCAGCAGCTCTCATTCTGCTATTTCTTCGACATTAAGCATCGATCTGTCAGCAAGCAACCGTCGAGATGTTGGTCTGCCAAGTACATATCGGCTTGAACCCAGTTAAGCTGATTGAAGTTAGACATGTGTGTAATCAGATATGACTTAAATCCAATATCTGTCTGCATAACTGGTTTTGAAGCCGATATGTGTTTGCCAGACCAAACAGTTAACGGTTGCTTCCTGACAGATCGATGCCATGTGTCAGAGAAGGAGTGGGCGGCAGAATGCTAGCGTTGGTAGAGCATTTGCTTAGCACAAACTTCCAGGATGGGTGGGATGCCGGTACGATTCCCATTTGACTTCAAAGGTTTTGAACACCACCCAACATTAGTGAAGCCTTATGTTCATTCTAAAAACGGATCTTGGGCCTCTCCACAGTTATGATGGAACCCTCGAGAATAATACGATAAACGATACACAATAATCAGGATTTTTTGGGTGGAGCCGAAGGTGTTATTGTTGAGTTAATTACTTGATAACATTCCAAGAATAAACGCATTATGTTAATCAAGACGTGCAAAGATGCGATTTAGTTCACAAAAAATAGGGCTTATAAAGATTTCAAATATTGAACCTGAGAAGAACCTCATAACTTTCAGTGAAAGCGAAATGTCGACCGAATCGATCTCCAGATTGCTCAGTATGGTGGATATCATGCTCTCGCAGGTGAGCATCTGCTCTCACCTCGCTATTACTCTAAACAGAGTCATTGCTTTCACACTTCCTCTACGAGTTCCCAGACTACTGACTGTCAGGAACACTTCTTTCATAGTTTTGATCTGCTGGATGCTAGGATTCTGCCATACAGTATCGTTTTTTTCGAGTATGTTTTGTAATCTTATATTCAATAAGACTGCGTTTTTGCATCAGGAAGATCCACAGCAATATCATTAAGTCCTTTGATAAGTTTTCGCGCTAGAGCAAAAAAAAAAACCAAATTTTGTTAACCAGAAATAATTAAAATTGATTGAGAAAACTATTCAAAGTACACGCCATAAACCTAAACACATCTCTGCCATCCTTCAAGCAGTAAATCCATATCGCCTCGTGCAGAATTTCCTAAGCTTCGTTTTATTAGCAAATTTGTTCATTCTTGTCTCATCATGGCCGCTCAACGAAGCCTTTATCGCAGTTTGCTGCTGTATGAGTACGAACGGGGTTATGATGCACCGACAGCCTTGGAGAAAATCAGCAGGGCAAAAGGCTCAAGGATTTGCGTACACAGGAACAGTGTTTCTGTCCCTTGCTAAGTTTCGCGCCAGCAACACCAACTTGAGGGACCAGCTGCGCTCCGGACGTCCAAGCGAAGCTAATCGAGAGGCCGCCACCATTCCCGTCGCAGTGGGTGTGACGGCCAAGTGACTGCTGACACAATACTTCGCTGAAAGATGCTTCTCTACGCGTTCATAGGATCGAAAAAACATTAGCATCACAAAGCACTACGTAAAACGTATGACCCTGCTACAAAAAAACTTCAAGTACTTCTGTTTCAGCCATGAATTTGGACATCAAAGCTTAGAAATAATCATCATTGCGAACTTTTTGTCAAAACTTAAGAGGCTATAACTTCCTATTTACTCCCAACAGTAATTCGAAGGTATCATCACCTGTCAATATTAGAGATTGCAATGAAGACTAGGAGGCTTGACGAACCTCCCATAACACCGTGCAGCCTAAGTGATCTATCGCAGTGAGGGTTGCACATGTGGAGTGTAATCTTTACATCGAGCAAATGACTGTGAAACTACAGATTCCCTCCACAGTTCATACGCTTGGACAACGCACCTTCATGTTAGTAAATCAGTCAATCATCGTGTCAGCAGCTATTCACGTGGACGCCTTCGACGGGCGGTCACGAATGCCCAACGGCCATCTTCTCTCATATGGTAACCCTACCTATTTTGTCTGCTGCATTGCAGAGAAACGGTCTTTTCAGTATTTAAACACGTTGTTTGGCATCAAAAACGATTATGCCATCAAATAATTGCTAATAGTTCAAAAGATAAACTCTGTCCGGCGAGAAATATAAGCGTCTTTTACGTAAGAAATTTCTTCCTGTAGCAAAATCAAAAAAGCTCTTCAGTAACTGGCGACGTAGGGCGATAGACTGAAGTCTCAGCTTTCGATTGGTTGCCAACACTCCTATCAAAACTTCTTCTTCATCAAATAATTTCGGTTTTTCATTTGCTCCCTTATAATCAGAAAGAACCTTGAAGAAACTTGTGTTCTATCGTTCTACAGGCACAGACTTTTTATTCCCATTTTATATTGCCACATAAACCTGCTAGAACCCTAAGCAGTCTATGCTGCTGCAGAAAAAGACATATGAACACGTAGATAATGTTATCAAGTATCAAATCGGCTGGTTTATGCAAGGCTTTTCAGCGGAGAAAAATCATCAATTGAATAAAGAAAATTGCTGCATGCTTATTAATCTCTCTGCGCGGTGATCATACCGCTCCGAAAGAGATAACTCCTAGTGTAAAACAATATATCTGTTTTTATTTTCAAAGTGCTCTATGGAAGCCTTTTTCAAAATCAGGTATTGTCATAGAATCATCTATATTTGTGCTATCGAGAGCACTTTTTTTACTTCCTGGATCTATAGGTCTGGCATTCACTCTTTTCATCGCCTTTTATTGAACGTAGGCAGATTACTAGATGGGCACGTTTCTTTCGAACCTCGGAACAGCCCTGGCTGGGAACTCCATAGAACGTTCGCTGTTTACTGACGGAGAGTATTGAAGAGGGTGAAATTAGCCATATGGGGGCTTGACCACCCGACGAGCATCACACCCACTCGGCCACCGTCCTGAAATGACCGCCCTTATAAAATGAACCTGTCAAATTTGATAGAAAAATCAGTTTGCGGCAGCTGGGATTCAAACCCAGATCTTACTCGGAAGTTAATAGATAAACGCGTTGTAGCGTAGAAAGAGCGGAGTGCGAAACTAGCGTTGGTAGTGCAACAATTTAACACGTGCTCCCGGAAAGAGTAGGATCTGGGTTCAAATCCCGGCTGACGCAAACGGTTTTTGCACACCACTCTGTATCATTGGGTTTATAGAATCATCATGACACCGCAGTAGGCGGTGGAACAAGATGATTTCGAATTGATTATTGAAATCCAAAAAATCAGTCACAACTCCCACCTGCGTATACAAAGCACTCAAGCACTCAAAGTGAGAAACTCGATTTTTCGCTGTTACAGCTCTCTAAAAGGCTTTACAAAAAAACTACATAATGGGAATTTTCGAAATTTGAGCCATAGAATAATAACGAGATCATGCAGGCTAATGGAAGACTTTGTCTCACCGAAGTATTGGAAAAATGCGTCGCAAAATACAAAAGTATCCAGCTTTCCTCTAATTAAAGTGTTTTATTAAGACCACGCTCAAGATTGAATATATCTCACAACTATTATTTGAGCCATCAGGTCATGTGGTCTGCGGAATGGGCTGACTTATTGAGCTCGATAAACGTGTTTCGACCTTGACGGTCTCATCAGTCGGGCGGTTTAACAGACCACTTGACATGTTGGCTCAAATAATAGTTATGAGATATATTGAAATTTGAGCGTGGTCTTAATTAAACATTCAAAATAAAGGTATAATATTATAGAAATATAAGCCAAAGAGCAATCGAGTGTACGACACTATTTGTTCAGTGATAATTTCACTTGACCCGTAGTGTAAAATGTTCGTCGTCGCCTACCCTTAGTATAGAGGAATGAGCGCCCCGAGAGGACTGGCAAAAGACGAAGGGTAGTAGCGATCATGAGACCGTTAAGATTGAGAGACGTGTATCGGGCTCTATAAGTCAGCTATTTAACAGGCCACAAAACGTGTTGGCTCAATAATAAATGTGAGATATCCAGTTTTCTCTAAGCTGAAAGATGTTTCGTGCTGTTTGATACAATGAAGTGGACGTGGAAGCTCTCCTATATAACGTGCGATCATTTGAGTGCTATCTCCGCCGCCTTCTACGTCACTGTAGCCGTAATAATCTCAATTTTTCTACTTGACTGCACAACGTTAATCTATTTGATAGTTAAACGTAAGGTGAGTTGATGATAGACTGAATTTCTGCACTACTTCCTTCACCTAATGACGAGTTTAACGTCATTCGTTGAACTCGTTGTCAAGCAACCGAAATTAGGAAATTTTTTTGTTTGGACGATGGAAGAGGAACTAGAGATTGATGTTCTTCCAACGACTAGCTAAGACATTTTTAATAACCACTTTTCTGAATTCATGACATGAATAATCAATGATGTTATGAGTGTTCATGTTAGCGCAAAGTTGTTATAAAAATCGTTATTAGGTTGAGAAATCGGACTATTCGCTTCCATAAAACCGGATAAATCAACGCCGAGGGGCCGCAGGTGGTTGTTTCTTACAATGTGTTTGTTTTTTCATCTAACCAAGTAGGTAAAGTGAAATAGCGCTTGTTTGTCACCACCTGGTCCACTGCGCAGGAACACTTTAGACGACATTCCTCTAGCGTCCACATGATCTTTTTTTCTGAACTGAAAGACTAGTTGAACACGGTGATACATGGTTTTTGATAGTTTACGCTCTCAGAACGGTGAAATGCTTTTTTTGTCCCACTTCATAGAATACAGAGGTAACTTCGTACTTCAGACGATATTCACATTTGAGCGACACGGTAACCGCAAACATTTGCTATCTGTTATCGCCATATGATGAAAACATTGGTATTCATGTTAATTCTTTGCCTAGTAAGAACACAAAATAAAGTGAGATATTACGAAAAATTTGCCGAGTTTTCAGTCGGATCAGGTACCTTCTCCCTAAAGCTTCCCTTCAAGAAGAACTACTCGTTTGCGACAAATCGACTCAGCATTTGATGAATAATTTCAAATTACTAAAATTATGAAGCCTCAATCTAATGTTTCATGATGCCGCTGATACCTATTCAAGCGTTTATCAACGAAGAAGACACGAAATGGAAGTGCGTTTTTCAAACAGGTAAGGCGCATAAGTAACAATGGAATGTTTTGGAGATAGTCTAGAATCCGCCCTTTCCTGGCGTTTATTGCAGACTGTGTACCAAAATGTGCTACTTATATATCTACACATTAGTACCTACTATATTGGTCAGAAATTCAAAAACAAATGGGCAGTATTTTTTGTGAAACATTGTCAACGGAAATGTACCACGCTCTGGATAGGTAAGTGTAATATAAGTCTCACTTAGACCTAGTTTATGGGCAATTTTACCAAGAGGTATATATTGCAACTTTTACGGGGTTGCGCTAAACGAAAGTTTAGATCCATTGGATTTGTAACTGTCGAAAAAATATGTTATCTTTATGATTTACTACCTAACTTACAGTTTCTCGACATAATGATGTGGCTTTTGGTAGTCCTAGTTATGATCTCCACTTGCCAGGGAGACTTTTATATGCGCAAATTTTCTCACCAGTGATGGATATATGAAAGAATCAATCAATATGAAAGAATCAAAGAATCAGCAATCAATAAAACTGGCATGGAATTTTGTTTGTTTTGAAGGGTAGAAAATAGAAAGGCTAGAAACTCGGTCTTAGGTAGGGCATGAATACCTACGTTGCTTTTACTACATTTTCTTCAATGTCGGACTGAGAAAACCAAAGAAGCTGCAGATCTTTACGTTGCAGAAGCGCGTCTTTGCGCCACCTCAAAAATTTATTTTGATCAATAATGCAAAGTGATTTGTGAGTTAAACTTTATTCGGAAGTGGCAAAATTTCAGCTTTATCATTGTTCTGTATCACTTTCGACTCTCTTAAATCGGTATCAAGAGGACGCCAACAGCACAACCAATGGTATGCAACCTCATTTTTTTCGCTTAAGAACTGGGCGTGATGACTTCCACGCTCCAGTGCTGTCTCATACGTAGCCAGGGATTGAAAAAGTGGATTGTTTGCAGGTGACTGCCATAATCTCTCAAAAGCGATTGAACAAGTAAGCATGGGCTCACTGAATGTGTTCATCGTGAATATGGATGCAGAAAACGAAGAATCTGACATTTTGCTAATATTTCTTGTTACTGATAATATTGAAATAGTATACTTATGTCATTTTGGTAATCTTTTCTACTATAATCAGAAGCATTGATTGAGAGGAAATGAGTATTAAGCGGATTCGCTGCTTTGTTTAGGCAAATGGATTATCAATCTTCAATGATCTTTTTCGCCGATAGATGTTTTACTGTGTTCTCACACTCTACTTAATGAGTTTCAACGAGCTTGATAGCACGAGCTTCACTTTCAATGATTAGCAAATTGACAACTTCCCTGCGCTTATATAATGGTGTCCTATAAACAGTCCACAATCGTAATGAAAAGTTCGTTCGCACACTTCACTTTTGTGAAGAGACGCTGCTATCTTTCCTATCCTAATTCATGCCTTATAAGCAACGAGGCTACCCATGTGCTGTTCACATGAGGAGGTAAATTAAGCCCTACAAACACATAAATATACTTGGAGATGCAGGTTGATTCAAATCAGCTGTAACAGTGAAAACATCCACCCTATCCGTAAACAAATGTGAGATCGTGACTACGGTCTTAAGATTGGTACCGTTGCGCTTTTGTGCATTTTCTACAATTTTTGAGGAACACACCATTGGGCCATAAGTGTTCCTGAATAATCTAATCCAATTGCCTGACCAAAGTGGCTACTGTTTTGTGGTTAATAGAGAATCGCTTCTGATGGCTTTTCCATCTAGCATTTCATCATCGTATTAGGCTAGATGAGGGAGTGGTCGAGTGGTTCCGATGCTCGTCACAACGCCGTAGGGACCCCATCCACAACACTTTCTGACGGTCAACAGCGGACGCTCTTTGAAACACCACAGCCGGGCTACCCTCCAAATTGCAAGGAAATGCGCTCAATCGGTATTCTACAAACGTTCAAGAAGATCGATCTTTTGCCGAGAAGTGGCAGGAAGTGCTTGAAGTTAAAGGAGAGTTCCTTCACTACTAGTTTTGTCTTCGTTTGGGTGTGATAGGTGCATAAATAAATGTTTTATAAGCATTTTCTCAGAACTTTTTCACGCAACCTATTAGAATTATTGGTATTCGCACATGAAAAAACACCCTGAAGGCGGATAATAAAGTGCCAAAAAATTTTATTCAAAGAAATCAGTCAACTAGCATTATAATCACAATCATGATCAATCATGTCCAACCATCTGGTGAGCAAAACTTGAATGACGTTTTCTTCCCAGAGAAAATGAGGTTGGCTATCAAAGAAGCCAGAGAGGTCGCTTTGAGATGGCTGTAGTTTTAAATTTCTTTCCAGGGCGCCACTGAGCTCTTTTCAGCAACTCCCTCATAGCGCTGAATTCAACCTCCTCAATTGTTCTGCGTAGACGCTGGTACTGATTGTCTGCTTGTTGTCGAACATTTCCCAAAGGGCAGCGCCCTGCTAATCCCAAAAGCTCAGAGCGCAATCTTCTAAGTAGGAACTTGAGCTTTGACTGGGCTGAAGAGTCTCGCCAATAGTATATTGGCCTAAAATCTTAGCATCCTGCTAGCATCGCAGTATTGTACCCTTTGACTAAAGCTACTAGCATGTTTTCCGATATAACACATCCTTATGCCAGTGATGATTTGAAATTGGAAAAAATGTGAATAAAACATCAGTCAAGAAATATATGAGACAACGAATATATAAAAATGAAGAAAAAGACATGGTTTTGGAAATAGTCCTGACCAAAATGGTTAAATCTATGTTAGCTCCTCTATGCGGAGCAAAAGCGTATCCTGTTCACACACGCACATTGCATTTATAACGAAATCAGACGATAACACCTTGATCTGCTCAGTGCTGCTATATTCCGTCGGCAGCAGTAGGCGGAAAAGCAGCAGATGAAAGGTATGCACTGCCTGGCGTTCGTCACAATCTTATCGTGTTTGGAAATAGTATTTGACAGTAATATCAACTGTAATCATCTTCCTTTTTTTTATCCTCTTACTGCTAATACTAAGAATCTGAAAGATGGTCATCCACCTAGTTT